GAGCACTGGGTGTTATACGCAAACAATGAATCATGGAACACTACATCAAAAACTAATGATGTAATGTATGGTGATTAACATAACATAATAAAAAAGAGGCAGAAGAACATTTGACACATAGAAGAGAAGGTAATGTAATCATGGAGGCAGAAAATATTGTTGCTAGAATGGCATGGATGCTCATGAACATTCTTAAGTGTTTCACAGTATCTTTAATTCCTAATTATGTAGCATTTCCTTCTAGACTGAAGAAAAATAGAATTACTAAAGATCTGATGAAGCAATGCACCTATAAGCCAAGGAATGCTGGTAGCTGTCAGGAGCTGGAAGAGTTAAAGAATAAGCTTCAGGAGGGACAGTATCCTGGCTGGCACCTTGATCTGGGCCCAGTAAAACTGATTTTGAATTTCTGGACTCCAGTGCTGTGAGAGAATAGATTTCTGTTGTTTTAAGACACCAAGTTTGTGATAATTTGTTACAGCAGTCACAAAAAATTAATACATGGGCAATACAAGTTAATATCATCCTGAGATAGCATTATAAATCCAGCAGAATGGGTAAACTAAAATAATCAATAATTCAAAGTGTTGATAAGAATGTGAAACAATGGAAATTCTCAACTACTGCTCTACATTGCTTCAACTGTTTTGAAAACAGTTGGCGTAATTCAATAAAGATGAACATATGCATATGTCACGACCAGCATGTATTTCTACTTACATACCCAACAGAAGTATGTGCACATGTGTGCCATGAGACATACAAAAAATGTTCCATGGCAGCAATATACATAATAGTCAAAAACTGAAACCACTCTAAATGTTCATCAACAGTTAAATGTATAAATTGTTATGTATTTACATAATGGAATGCACATAGCAGTGAAAAAAATTCACCTACATACAGCCACATAGATGAATTGCAAACAGCATTGACTGAAAGAAATCAAGAACAAAAATATATGTTCTGCAGAGATGCCGTCTCTATAAAGTTTAAAACCATAGAGTTAGAAGTCATAGTGGGAAAAAGGAGGAAATAGGAGGAGGAGGGGGTTTGCAAGGGATTTCTGAATTCTTGGCAACTTCATGTATCTTCGCTTATATAGTAATTACCTAAGTGTTTACATTGTCTTAACCCATTGATCTGTTTATTTGGCTTGTGCATTTGTGTGAGTACTGTACTTCAATAAAAAAGTTTAAAAAATCATTCATGTGCACATTGTTAGGCATCATGATTTTGTGTCATTTACACTAGCAACATAGAGATAGTCCCAGGGTAAGGAAAATTGATCACTGACATATTAGAGAGGGCTGCCAAACATTCAATTGCAACAGGACCTAGTGAACCTTCATTTGTTCTCCACTCCTTATTAATCATCAGAGCCAATATTGAAAGGAAAAGTCTGAAATGAACATGCAAACATTTTCAGCCAAATACATTTCTGTTACATCTTGGTTATATCCATTTTTATGCTAGTGTTGTATAATTATGCCCTTTTTACCCCTTGATCAATCTTGCTAGAGGTTTTGCCAGTTTTGTTAGAACTTTTAAAGCATGAACTACTGACTTTGTTTATCCTATTGTGTCTTTGTTTTCTATTTTATTAATTTTATTTTTATTTTACTTCCTCCTCTCGGTTTATTGGTTGTTTTGTTTTTTACTTTTAAGGTTACATCCTTCTGTTACTAATGTTCAGCATTTTTTTTCCCTAAGGGTAAAATTTTTCTTCAAATATCCCCTCTAAATATATTTAAATATGCAGTAGGTTTACTGTTATTTCATCCTAAGTTTTAAAATTTTATTGATTTATTATTTGACCAATAAGTTATTAGTGCAAGTGTGCTCTTTATTTTCCAAATATACAGGGAATTTTTAAATTTTTAAATGCTGCTTTTTGATAATGATTTATAGCTGAATTGCATTATTGTCAGGAGGTGTCATCTGTATAATAACAATTATTTGATAATTGTTGAAACTTACTCTTGTGCTTTTAAAACATGTTCACAAATTCTTTGATGTTCCTCCCAACAACAGAAAGAGTCCTCCTTTCCCTCCCTTTGAATATGAGTTGTCCATAGTGACGTGCTTCTAAACTAATAAAATGTAGTGGAAGTGACACTGCAGGACTTGTGACAATAGGTTAGGAAAGGTGATATAGCTTCTGCCTGGCTCTC